AGCAGCAGGCCCAGATAGCCGACATGTTTCGTAGCGCGGAAGGAGATTGGGCTTCAGACGGCCCTGAAGGAGGTTTCAACTCGCCTCAAACTGGCGGAAGAGGAAGACCCATTTTTCCAGTTCTCTTGATTGAGTCACCGCACACAGGCGACCGAGTCATCAAACCATTCGCATGGGGTGGTAGCCGAGGCACGTTTTGTCTTTCTACTGACGGAACAAAGCGCTTGGTGGCTTTGCCCTACGCCACAGCTAAATTTTACTCTGGGCATACACCGGATGACGGAGGAGAAATGTGGCCAATTTTTCTGGTTTTTGCGGACATTCGAGATGCCCATTAACTAATCAAAACATACAAGGTGCTACCTTAGGTGGCCGTATGTGGACCCTGTGTTCAGTACATGTTGAGGCATTCGATAGATCATTTGACGACAGGCTGCACATGTAAGATCAATTGTTTTCACTTTCATCTAGTTTTATCATGTTATAATATTATTTTGGATTAGTTATCTAGTGAATTAAGAATTTAGTCAGATATGGATTAGCGTATCATTGTATCTGCTAAGTCAGGTAAACAAGTTTTATTCATTTCGGAAACTGTCTAATGGCATATGTTTGGATCTTTACGACGCCGGAAGTGTAGCGAGTTATGTATTAAACGCAATTTCAACAGATTATATGTCGTTAAATAAGCCATTATCCTTTACCAGACCATGTAATGCTATTTTACGAGTCTATATGAGACAAAATGCAGGAAAGTCTAACTTAATTATTCCTGATTAAATCTTGGCAACACTTTATTCCAGATTCATCACTCGTTAGTTCCATCTCTACCTCTTCTTTGATTAAGCGAGGGAAGAATGGGGAAATAGAAATAAGGAAATATATATAAAAAAGCGCGCGGTGGACGATGGAAATCAACCGCACACCGTATGCCTTCCTTGTTTTGGCGGCTCTGTCCGGTTCCAAAGAGGCACTCTGGGAAAGTGAGGCTTCATATCACTGAGTACCCACAGGGGGCCTTAGCATTAGATGAGAATTTCATTCCATAAATCGCCGACCGATATGTTTTTGCGTTTTGAGGTTTCCTGACGACCACCATGGAACTGTAACTGAGAATATTCGACCGTTTCTTAGTTTCGCAATGATCGGGTATTTCAAATTCAAATTGGTCGCCACAACACGCATCGGTGGTAAAGATAAGCTTTTTTCATTCATTTTCTAACCTGATCTGATGAGCCCTTCGATGCGTACAACCTCGATCAGACCAATAATTCAGTCTTCTTCCCCTACTCTCTCTTCTCTTTATCTGGCACAAAAAAAATCCTGTCCAAAAGTACCCAAAAGGACTCTACAACAGATAAACGACAGGGGTTTACCATACGCATTTTACAGAACTAGACCTGCCTTGAAAGTATAAAAAAAAAGCTTACTCGAAACTTAGCAGCATATTCCAAAATCGTTTCATTTTATTCTCGAAAAGGTACGATCTTTGCAAATCTGTCCTAGTGTACCGATATACAAGCAACGATACAAAAGACCACTCAATATACTAGACTGATATAGTTAATTACACTAAATATCCCGCTGTGCGGGATATTTAAAAGAGACAGACGAAGAGATTTTCTTCGCGAAATGTTGCGGAATATCTTTAGCGATCGTGAACCTGCTATATAATGTTATTTATGATATGAGTAACTGGCTAGCTACATTGCAGGACGCGACGAGTAAATTAAAATAACTGTAGACTAGGCTCCGATTCATTTTTTAAGGCGCACAGGAAACAACGCCGGAGGTAAATAACTCACTTGCTTGATGGTATACGACAGCTGTGGCCATCAGAACCGAGCCCAAGACCCAATATCACAATCGATACCGTAAAATAATACAAGGCTATAACAAAACAAGGCAAGACCTCACAGGGAGGCCCTCGTCCAAAATCGCGGAAAAAGTTCCTTCGATTGACTCAGTGAAACGGAACGAATGCAAGGAGTTTTCCATGAGTTGGTTTGGGCAAACCAAACTAAGACAGATTGAGGCAAACATTTTCTCAGACACGCTCCTTCACCTCTGAATAACCGAGAGCTGCTGGTATCGTGGTTCAAGCACCGTTAAAAAAAAAGTGTACTTACAGAAACTTCATCAAAGTGGACAAGAAGGGCCGGCCTCTCTGCTCCTGAACGCTCGGAATTCGACAAAATGTCTAGAATCAATTACCACCGGTACAGCAGGCCCAGATAGCTGACTTGTTTCCTAGCGCAAAAGGCGATTATAAATAGGCCTCGGACGGTCCTGTAGGAAGCTTTTTCACTCGCCTCAAACTGGCGGAAGAGAAAAACTCAATGCATTTTCCAGTTTTCTCGATCAGCTCACACGCCGGGGCGAGCGAATCATCAAACCATTCGCATGGAGTGATATCCCTGGTTCATTTTGTCTTTTACGGGCGCAACAAAGTGTTTTAGCGCTTTTGTATTAAGCTACAGCTCAATTCTATCTGGACATACACAGGGTGATGGAGTGGAGGACAATGAGGCCAATTTTCTTACGGTGTTAGCCAACACTCGAAAAGCTCATTAATAAATATACAAGGTATAACCTTCTGTGAAAGTATATAGAACCTTGCGTTAAGGCATTCGGCTGATCGAGCCGCAACATAACAGGCCTCACATCAGATCAACCTTTTTCATCTTCTTGGTTCATAAACAATTAGCATGGCATTTGTTTAGGTCTTCACAAAACGAAAGTGAAGAGTTCAAGTTGTAGTGTGTTAAGTTCCTTGTCATAGCGCAATTCAATCTCGACAGATTTCAGACTGTTCATGCCAGCTATTTACTAACACCATACCTTTGATTGCACTAAATTAAATGCGGTAATGTCGTTTGAGACGCAACAACTTGAAGCGAAGCGAATATAGCGTTCAAAACATGCCTGGGGGCAATAGTTAATGAGAAATGTGCGATGTGACAACTTTCGTTAGCGTCGGTAAACCTTCGAAAGTCCTCGGAAATCTTCGAGTGATCTCTGGCGTGGGGTAATAATTTTCGTCCATCTTAGGAATGCTTCGGATGGTCGTCGGCAGCCGTACGGAATCTCCATGTTTCTCATAATTTTCAATCGACATTTTGGCCAGAGGCCGAGTAATTATGTTTTTATGTGTGTTGCAGATTAATCCATGTGAAGACAATTTGATGTTGCAATATAATTTTGATAGTAGCAAGAAAATTATAATTGTTGCAGACTGAAAATAGTTTCGGAGTTTAGCTCGATCCGAAGAGAATTTAAAAAGTTCTGCGGTAATTTAAATTAAAGCAAGCCAATTTTGTTTGTTGATGAGTGGATTTCGTTGTTGCCAATTATATTTTTGCCTGAAAAAGCACCGAGTATTCNACAACTTTCGTTAGCGTCGGTAAACCTTCGAAAGTCCTCGGAAATCTTCGAGTGATCTCTGGCGTGGGGTAATAATTTTCGTCCATCTTAGGAATGCTTCGGATGGTCGTCGGCAGCCGTTCGGAATCTCCATGTTTCTCGTAATTTTCAATCGACATTTTGGCCAGAGGTCGAGTAATTATGTTTTTATGTGTGTTGCAGATTAATCCATGTGAAGACAATTTGATGTTGCAATATGATTTTGATAGTAGCAAGAAAATTATAATTGTTGCAGACTGAATTTCGTGTGTTTCAACATGAATCGCATTACTCCTATTTATCTCCTTTTTATATGAAAACACACTGAAAATAGTTTCGGAGTTTAGCTCGATCCGAAGAGAATTTAAAAAGTTCTGCGGTAATTTAAATTACAGCAAGACAAGTTTGTTTGTTGATGAGTGGATTTCGTTGTTGCCAATTATATTTTTGCCTGAAAAAGCACCGAGTATTCTT